AAACTTCACACCCACCATCCCGCACTGTTCCATGGCCACGCTGATCGGCCTGTCCATACGCGTGAAGCTACTGCGCTCCCTGCCGCCCCGCTTCAAGGTCACCGTAGAGATCACCCCCGGGACCCATGCCTCGGAGCAGGCGGTTAACAAGCAGCTGGCGGACAAGGAGCGTGTGGCCGCTGCTTTGGAGAACAAGCATCTGGCCGAGGTAATCAATCAGTGCATCTCGGCCAGGGGCTGAATAAGCAACTACCCCTACCGCCTAACCAGTACATCCTCCCTCTACCCTACACTGTAGCTGTCCCATGTTTTTTTAGGTAATACAAATTATATTTTAGCAGCAAAACTTTCTGGGGTCATGAACTATGGGCTAAAAGGTAAACGTTAACAAAACACAGCGTATCGGGGCGACTGGCGGATGACGACGCTGTACTCCATGGTCAATCGGGTTATTCTTTGGGCGGTTCCTTCAACCGCATGTGCGGCTCCACAGTGGGCAGGGGCTTTGGCTTGGTGGGATCGTACTTGAAGGTCTTCACCAGCGGCCCTTTTCCAGCCTTGGCGAAGCGAATTTCATCCAGACGCTGTCGCTCCTCGATCTCCTTAGTGATCTTCATGTTGTCCCAGGCTGAAAGAGGATTTTAAGGTTACAATAGGTCGTCCTTTAGGATGTATTTTTGGAGCTTACACTCTTTCATGCCTCCAACGAATCCCTTCTTCTTCGTAGGCAGCGCACTGGGTGCATGCGTCAGCATCTTCTCAATCTTGAAGTATTCGCGAACTGAGGGAATACGCAGCACGGCCACCTGTCCCAGTGAGATGAAGTTACTGCATGCCCAATACGTTAAAATGGCCGCCGGGAAGTTCATTGTGAAGGGGAAGATGACAAGAGGCAGTGCTCGGAGCACATACTTCATCGTATTCATGTTGGCGGCCGACAGGCGGGCGCTGTCCGTTCCGATCTCGATGGTCAGGTAGAGCGTGGCGCTGGTGATCAAAGGCAGTATATAGAAAGGATCGGCCAGGGTCAGATCTTGGAACCACCAGAGTCCGCCATCCCTCATGGAGTCGACAGGCGTATTGGCCATCTGACGGAGGCCCATGAAAAAGGATATGAAGAGCGGTGCCTGGGCCAGTGGCACAATCATGTTCTTCAGCGGATTCACACCCTTATCCCGCATGAACAGCATCATCTCCTGGGCGTAGCGGGCAGACTCAATGGCGTTACCCGACTGCCTGGCCTCCGTCATCTTGAGTTGCAGCAACTGCATCTGTGGCATGTTGTTGTTCATCTTAGCCGAGTTCCGTTGGGCAAGAATCACAAGCGGAAAGATGATTGTGCGCACCACAAGCGTTCCCACGGCGATGGCACCCCACCAGGGCAGCTCCCAGGTGCAGTGCAGGAACTCCATGCAGTTTTGTACGACACCCACGGGCGTCCAGCCTCCCAGTCCGATCGAGGCGAATGTGGCCTCTCCAGCAGCATTCAACACATCTGAAGACACGTCCTCCACGGAAAATGCGGGCGGGGTCGGCGCCTCAGGAATATCGGGCAGATCGACTATCTCCTTGGTGGAAACCGATTCCGGCAGGCCCCCGGTGCCGGTGCTGGCAAAGCGCAGAGCACTTGATCCCATCAGCGCTGGAGGCACAAGCTTTTGTGGAGGAACCAGACACATTGAGTGCCTGGACAACTGGGCGCTCCAAATCCTGTGGCTGGCCAAGTGCATGTCTCTCCTGTTGGCGGGTGAGTTGTGCTATAGGGATGTGTCAAGATTAGTTGGTGTCCCTTCAATTCATAACAAGTTACCGCGTTTGCAGGTTATGTCATAGAGAACTCCATTCCGGCGCACCGGCTGGCGGCATTTACCTGTGTGGCCAAGCGGGCGGTGGCCGCGTTAAGTGCTGCAGCCGCATTAGTTGCCCGCCATAGCTGCATCCTGTTTACCAGCATCGTACAGTTTTAATTTAGCAAATTGTTAATTTCTGTTTTGCTTCGTTTTGCTCCGCAGGCCTGCGGAAAAGAGATGGAAGATGTAAATTCCAGTGTTAATGGCAAAACGGCGGCAGTCAGCTGTGTGTGTCACATCGCGCCACCTGGCGGCTGTGCTGCCGTTGGTTCTTTGGCGGTAAAAATTTGAATTTCAATCTTTGGCTTACTTTTCCTCTACGCTGTCAAAGTTTTTAATAGAATTTTGTTAAGCAGGAATTTAATGTTGACGTGAAAAATGAGTTTTAATTGACAAACCAAAAGGTCTGATCTAGTTTTGAAAATTGAATCAATTAGCACAGCAATTTACGATTTGCTTTCGCTTGGCCATAAAAATATTTGCAAATTTTATGACTGACATCCCGGAAGGCCAACGGGTTCCTGCTAGCCAGTGTCGTGAGCCAACGGAAAATGTTAAAAGTCAATGCGACATATTTGGCATACAAAATTATGTCACTAAAATGCTTCAGTTTCGCTCAAATTAATTGGTTAATATTCATTCAATTCGATACCCTTATCCATGGCTAAGGCCTCACTCGTTTGGCACAAGCATCCATACGATTGGAAGTAGCCAGTAAATCTAGCGTATTGCCGATTCGAGCTGGTCTACTTCCACTGTCCATTTCTCATTATGAATACTGATACACATTATATTAAGATTGGGAAAAATAAATTATAAATCTCGACTCGTTGGAACGCCCTCATTTGAATAATGCTGAAACCCGAGAGATTATACATACATAGGTGTTCAAAATGCGAATTGGTCTCGACCCCAGAATCGGAGTGAATCGCCAAACCATTGACGCGCTTTGACATGCACAACTAATTTGTTTATTAAACCAAAGGGGAAACAACAAATGCAAAGTCAAACACGCGAGATATTATATCACTTAGAAACTAGTTTATTGGCTTTGAGTTAAATATGAGTTTTGCCTCTGCTGCGTGGTCGGCAGATGCATCTTTTTGTATACCAAATCAAATACAAAGAAGATGATCGCCACTAAGTAGCTACTATAGTCAAATGTCGAACGCATGATGAGAAGATTGACACCTTTAAAGGATTGACAAATTTTACTACGATGATTTTATGGGGAAATGCTTTTGATCTTCCACTAAAACGCCTACCTATACATTTTCCTATAATTTATTTAAATTTTTCCCGAATTTCCTCAGTGTTGAAGGTTGATATTAAGTGCCAATCAATACAGATGCAAAATACGTGAGGAGATACGTAGATACCATACCCGTCACTTTTAGTTTTTTTTTTTTATGAGGTAGCCAACATAAAATGTAATCAATTAATGAAACCCAATTTTGACATTTTACATGGAACTGATAGGGAGTTTTTTCGTATAAGCTTTCAATGCTCTTATGGAGTATAAATCTTAAAACTAAACTTAAAGGAAATAAAATCAGTGGATAGTGGCACTATTATCATTTCTCATCGATCAGGTCGATGATTTCACTTTCCGTACAAGCCATAAAGTTAAATTTTATGACTTTCGTGTTCTCAGCGACGCGGCGGACAGACTTCTTCAAGGTCAGACTCAGACCGACCCCCTATGTTGATTTATGCCGTTCGCACATCACACCAACTATCATCAGCATAGTGGAATGAAAGTAGTTTGCAAAGGAATAATTTTAGCCCGTACATATGTGAGCTTATGATGTATGTAAGCTGTACAATACTTTTTTGTATCGCTGTTCGAAAAAGGGACGAATTGATTTCTTGGTTAATGCTTGGATATCATCTCTCTCAAGTGGAGGGGATCTCAAGAGAGAGTGAAGAAAGAGGAACCACCTCCTCTGTTATGTTCATTTTTGCATTTCGTTTATCATCTTTCCGCCCAATGAACTATTTGATCAGAATAATACAATATTTGGTGGTTCCATTTTTCTCTGCATTATCTCTCTCTCACCAGTCGATCTTGCACAACCTCGTGGAAGGAATAGCGTAGTCACTGCAGTTTCATTAGTTCCTTCTGGATGATCTGATATGATCTAGATTCCGCGATTTGGCAACTAATATACCCCCATATACTCTTTGCATATGGAGAGTTACTAAGAAAGAAACCTATCCTTCCAGAGACTTAATTCCTTAATTAGCCCAATCCCATTTCCTCATCTCAATATCTACATAGCAATTGAGTGCAGATCACTGTGCAGGGCAGGCGCTAGAATATGATATTTAAAATATAGCATTAAAGGTGCCGGTGCCGCAAGAGACACGAGACGTTTTGTGTCGATAGATGCATATGTAGATGGGGCTTCGCGGCTAAGGCGTTGGCTGGCAACGGGTAAATCCTGTTTGATATCTTATTTTGACTATTAATTAAGTATTAACTCAGTTTTATGGGCCAATTTGTTAAACGCACACATTTCAGCGCCTCTCGCACACCTGTGTATGTACATACGTGCATTACTAGTAAAGCTCCGTTCGGTTTGGCACTTGGCAACGGAAGAACTGAGGGCTCGAGGGACGGGACGGGACGGGACGAAGAAGCATCGTAAAACGCGAACTGTAAAAGTTAAGCTTTTGGGCAGGCCAGGCCAAAAGTGGAACCATAAATTATGCTAAATACGTATTGGCACTACTCGTACGCTACATGCTATTTCAAATGCATTTAATTAAGTGTGTCTTTTTGGGTGTGCCGGGTAGGTTTTTCAGACTAGACCCAAACCCAGACCCGGACCAGACCTAGGCTAAGCGGCGACATTGACATTGCCGCATGTGGAGATACTTTTAACTTTTGCTCTTTGCAGCCCAGCCCACACACACACCACACTCTGCTCTCGCAGCATGAGATGGAAATTGGAAGACATCGAGCCGCCGCCGATGCTCTAGTTTGGCCAATACTTTTGGTTGGCTTATTGTTATTTAGATGTGTTTCCTGCAGTCCGGCGTAAAAGTTGTTTGGGTGGATCGGGTTTCGTCGATTGAGAATTTGGATTCAAATCAGTCTGATGTTTGGTATAAAAACATTTGCAATTGGCCACAGAGTCATCATTCAGAGTCTCACAGTCCCAGACAAACGAACTCCTCCTCACTTCTACCAAGATGTTCCGCTACGTAAGTATCCAGGATATTGGAAGAACTCCAGCTCATGGAGAGCCAGAGATCAGCTAACCGAGTGCTCCTATCCAATCACATCCAAAACAGATGCTCGTCGCCTCCGCCGTCCTGGCCTGCGCCTATGCCGCCGCATCCTACAACACCGATGCCTCCGCTTACGTGGTGAAGAACAGCGCTGACATCCAGCCCGAGGGACAGTACACGTACCAGTACGAGACCAGCAACGGCATCGCCGCCCAGGAGTCCGGACTTGGAGGCTACCAGGCCACCGGAGGATACTCCTACTACTCGCCGGAGGGACAGCTTGTCCAGATCTCCTATGTGGCCGATGAGAACGGCTACCAGCCCCAGGGTGATCTCCTGCCTACTCCCCCACCAATCCCAGCTGCCATCCTGAAGTCCCTGGAGTACATACGCACCCACCCTCAGTACCAGGAGCCACAGCAGCAGTACCAGCAGGTGCAGCAGCAGCAATACCGCAGCCCCGCTCGTTTCCAGAACAAGCGCGTCTACGGTTAAGCAGCGACTCCAGTCGTCATCTGCAAATGTTTATAAAAGCTTTATTATTTTTTTTTTTTAAATGAATAAATGTTATTGAGGAGAAAACAAATTTGAAAAGTTGTTCAAAAAACGGTTCATGCACCGAAAACGGTGTCGCAAACGCACTTTCTGGATTAGATCCCAGGGTCCCCAGGTTCATGTCTTCTACCGCCGAACACCCTACACCCCACACCCTCTCTGGCCATAAACTGCTATGCCGCGATCCTCTCCTTATACCCCGTCAGGTAAAGTTATTAACTTATTATTTATTCATTTACTTTATTTAACTCTTCCTTTCATTTTACCAGGTAGCCCCTCTGGTGCCCAGGAATACCTCAAGCATGCCCGCGCCCACTTTTATGTTTATCATCGTTTACCAGGGACTTCGCCCTTCTGATCTTCCAGTTCATATGAGCGAGTGTACGCTTGATTCTGCTGTAGTTCCTCGTCCTTTCGGGAGGTCCAAGGGATGTGCTCCCGGCTCGAATGCTGTCTGCCCTGTTGCGGGCCATAGCCACTGCAGCAGGGACCAGTGATCGATGGCGGAATCGTTGGCTCCGAATCAAACACTGGGCTTCAGCTTCGAGTGGCGTAAGTGAATCAGTACATAATTGTGGACATGTTTTAAAATACATCTTCTTTCACATCACATCTTCGCTACGCTTTGCCACAAACCGAGTCGCATCCGATTTTCCCCGCCAAAACGGAGTCCCAAACAAGCATTACCGAGGCGTATTCGAGACAGAACGAGTCCAATCCCAGCCAGACAGAACCGTATCCCAGCAGGACAGAAGCGCACCCCTTGCAAGATCAGAACCCAATAAGCCATCGTCATCCTTCGACCTGGCCATCGACAACAAGGAATTTCCCTATGGCAAACAAGGGAGGGGCCACGCGGGCTTCTAGACTCTAAAAAGATATCGTTGTTGTTAGGTTCAAGATAGATACAAATGTTTTCCACTAGTTTATTCATTTATACTAAGCTTAGTTTTGATGAATAAAACTATTGAAAAATCATCCTTGCTATATTCTGTATTGGCACGCCCAGATCGGCTCTCAAATTTCGGAGGAAACTCATTTTTTTGATTGGGGAAAAAGTCCTTGATCCTTGATAAGGACTGGCCGTCGATCACAAGAAGCCATCGCTCGACCAGATCGGGCCACAAATAGCCGTCAAAACTAATTATGTATGGTTGTTGTTGGAGTCCTTACCGAAGGATCAAGGAAATTGTTCAGATCACGGCGGGCCATGGCACCTTTCGATCAGGCCACAAAGAAAGGAGAAACCAAGATATATATGTCTGGAGAATATATCCTTGATCCTTGGTCCTTGATAAGGACTCCATCAGATCAGGAAAATCTTTCCGAACACAGGAAGCCTTCGCACGTCCCCATTGGGCGACAAATAGGGAAGAAAACAAAACTGGCTTGTAATTTTTAATTTTTTAAATGTAGTCATGTAACTCGCGTCAAATGGCTGGGATACCAGGCGAACAGAAATCAGCAGAAGGTCCAATTTCTTAATTTTGGAGCCCCAAAAGTATGCACCACTTTTTTGCATTTTCTAAAGTTGCTTGCTGCTGATTTCTGTTCGCCTGGTATCCCAGCCATTTGACGCGAGTTTTGTTTTTAATAAAAACTTTGTATGTACGGTGGCGCACCTATCGGTGATTTCTTGAACTACATTTAAAATAATAACAAATTACAAGCCAGTTTTTTTTCTCCGTTATTTGTGGGCCGATCTGGGCTTGCGACGGCTGCCTGTGCTCGGAGAAATGTCCCTGATATTATGAAGTCCTTTCCAAGGACCACGGATATCAATGATCAAAAATACTAATTTTCTCCGCTATTTATGGCCCGATCTGGGCGTGCAACAGCTTCCTGTGTTCGGAAAGATTTTCCTGATCTGATGGAGTCCTTATCAACGACCAATGATCAAGGATATTTTCTCCAGACATATATATCTTGGTTTCTCCTTTCTTTGTGGCCTGAGCGAAAGGTGTCATGGCCCGCCGTGATCTGAAAAATTTCCTTGATCCTTCGGTAAGGACTCCAACAACACCAACCATACATAATTAGTTTTTACGGCCATTTGTGGCCCGATCTGGTCGTGCGATGGCTTCTTGTGATCAATAAAATGTCCTTGATTTAATGAAGTCCTTATCAAGGATCAAGGACCTTTTCCCCAATCAAAAAAATTGAGTTTCCTCCGCAATTTGAGAGCCGATCTGGGCGTGCCACGCCTTTTTGTAATCGGGATAGTTTCCCCAATACAGAATACAGCAAGGATGATTTTTCAATAGTTTTATTCACTAAAACTTAGCTTAGTATAAATTAATAAACTAGTGGAAAACATTTGTATCTATCTTAAACCTAACAACAACGATATCTTTTTAGAGTCTAGTAGCCCGCGTGGCCCCTCCCTTGTTTGCCATAGGAAATTCCTTGTTGTCCATGGGCAGGTCGAAGGATGACGATGGCTTGTTGGGTTCTGATCTTGAAAGGGGTGCGTTTCTGTCCGGCTGGGATACGGTTCTGTCTGGCTGGGATTGTACTCGTTCTGTCTCGACGACGCCTCGGTTATGCTTGGATACGACTCGATTTGTGGCAAAGCCCTCTGTGAAGGAAGATATATTTTAAAATATGTCCACAATTATATACTGATTCACTTACGCGTCTCGAAGCTGAAGCCCAGTGTTTGATTCGGCGGCGTATGAATGGCCGGCTTACGAAGACTTGGAAAATCCTGCTTTGACTACGAAGTGCCTAATAATAATCTATGAATGATTGGTACGACCATGTCTTACGAATTCGAATCTGAAGATTATCTGAAGATGAGTAAATGGAAATACCGTAAAAAACATATTAAATATCACTTTAATACAAATTGGTTCAAAATATTAGCTACGCTTTCTTTTTAATATTTTCTGAAAACTTTCAACTCTTTTTTCGTTAACTTCAATTTTAAAATAGCTTTTTTCCCGTTAAAAAGGCAGATTTTTGGAAAATTCAATGATGTAACCATCATGATTTTTTGCGAAAATCGTGATAAGCTGGATGTCCTGTTTTCTGATGCCAATCGGTTGGCAGGACTCTCCCCATCACGAAAAGTCATGCCACCCTTAGATCGGCCGCTGTTCAGCCTATTTATATGTAGCGTGCAGAAAAAACCAGTATTTGCATGATGCGTAAATCCAAATCTTCCGAAGGCTGTATTTCAGACAAATAGGGCCAGATCCGCGAAGGACCAACTCTCCCAGGATCGCAAGGATCCAGCCTGTCGAACGGCATCAAAATCTCAACTACGAAAATGAGGCCGATTTTTGGCAAAATCAATGATGGTTACATCATTAAAATTGCCAAAAATCGGCCTCATTTTCGAGGTCGAGATTTTGATGCCGATCGACAGTCTGGACGATCACGATCCTGGGAGAGTAGGTCCTCCCCCGATCTGGCCCTATTTGACTGAAATATAGCATTCCGAAGAGATGGATTTGCGTATCTTTGAGATACTGGTCTCTTCTGCACGCTATATCTCTGCAATACAGCGGCCCATCGGCGTGCGGCATGTCTTTTCGGGATGGGGCGAGTCCTGCCAATCTACTGCGACCCTGGGAGAGTAGGTCCTCCCCCGATCTGGCCCTATTTGCCTGAAATATAGCCTTGCGAAGAGTTGGATTTGCGTATCTTTGAGATACTGGTCTCTTCTGCACGCTATATCTCTGCAATACAGCGGCCCATCGGCGTGCGGCATGTCTTTTCGGGATGGGGCGAGTCCTGCCAATCGACTGCGATCGGAAAAAAGGACATCCATTTCATCACGATTTTCGCAAAAAATCATGATGGTTACATCATTAAAATTGCCAAAAATCGGCCTCATTTTCGAGGTCGAGATTTTGATGCCGATCGACAGTCTGGATCCTCACGATCCTGGGAGAGTAGGTCCTCCCCCGATCTGGCACTATTTGCCTGAAATATAGCTTTGCGAAGAGTTGGATTTGCGTATCTTTGAGATACTGGTCTCTTCTGCACGCTATATCTCTGCAATACAGCGGCTGATCGGCGTGCGGCATGTCTTTTCGGGATGGGGCGAGTCCTGCCAATCTACTGCGACCCTGGGAGAGTAGGTCCTCCCCCGATCTGGCCCTATTCGCCTGAAATATAGCCTTGCGAAGAGTTAGATTTGCGTATCTTTGAAATACTGGTCTCTTCTGCACGCTATATCTCGGCAATACAGCGGCCGATCGGCGTGCGGCATGTCTTTTCGGGATGGGGCGAGTCCTGCCAATCGACTGCAATCCTGGGAGAGTAGGTCCTCCCCCGATCTGGCCCTATTTGACTGAAATATAGCATTCCGAAGAGTTGGATTTGCGTATCTTTGAAATACTGCTCTCTTCTGCACGCTATATCTCTGCAATACAGCGGCTGATCGGCGTGCGGCATGTCTTTTCGGGATGGGGCGAGTCCTGCCAATCTACTGCAATCCTGGGAGAGTAGGTCCTCCCCCGATCTGGCCCTATTTGACTGAAATATAGCATTCCGAAGAGTTGGATTTGCGTATCTTTGAGATACTGGTCTCTTCTGCACGCTATATCTCTGCAATACAGCGGCTGATCGGCGTGCGGCATGTCTTTTCGGGATGGGGCGAGTCCTGCCAATCGACTGCAATCCTGGGAGAGTAGGTCCTCCCCCGATCTGGCCCTATTTGACTGAAATATAGCATTCCGAAGAGTTGGATTTGCGTGTCTTTGAGATACTGGTCTCTTCTGCACGCTATATCTCTGCAATACAGCGGCTGATCGGCGTGCGGCATGTCTTTTCGGGATGGGGCGAGTCCTGCCAATCGACTGCAATCCTGGGAGAGTAGGTCCTCCCCCGATCTGGCCCTATTTGACTGAAATATAGCATTCCGAAGAGTTGGATTTGCGTATCTTTGAGATACTGGTCTCTTCTGCACGCTATATCTCTGCAATACAGCG